CAGAATACAACCTCGTTCATATTTGCTAATATACAGGGCCTTAAGCCATCCACCAACAACAAAATACCTTTTATCAGTGGACTTCTAGAGGAGTCTAATGCAATGTTTGCAGCCTTCACAGAGACTCACACAAAAGGTCACTTTGACAGTGAAATATGGATAAGTGGTTACAACCTTTTTAGATGCGACAGAAAAAAACAGGCAACAAGGGGGGGTTGGCCTGTATGTCAAAGAGTCCCTTATCTGCACGGAGTTGCTGAACACCACAAATGAGGTAGTTGAAGTTCTATCAATAAAGATCGAGAACCAAAACCTAGTCATTGTGGTTGTATACAAGCCCCCAGATGCAACCTCACAACAGTTCAAGGAACAGCTACTGAAAATTGATTACTGTTTGGAAAACCTTCCAGCTCCATCCCCAAACATCTTACTGCTTGGTGATTTCAACCTAAGGCATACAAAATGGAAGAATGTCGCAAATAATGTTATAGCTGAAACAATCCCCGGAGGTAGCACAGATGAAAGGTCACACACACATGAGCTACTAAGTCTCTGCGAAAAACACACCTTAAGCCAGCAGATAGTGGAGCCAACAAGACTAGAAAACACACTTGACCTTATCTTCACAAATAATGAGGACCTGATAAGAGACATAAGAATATCAAAAACAACTAATTCCGATCACAATCTAATCGAAGTCCAGATGTACATGCATAGGGGTCCTGATCAGCAGAATGCATGTACCTGTGAAGGTGTCTTCACAAAATACAACTTCAACAACAAGAACATCAACTGGGACCAGGTAAACCATGTCCTAAACGAAACATGTTGGGAAGATGTCTTAAATGACATGGATCCAAACCAGTGCCTTGAAAGGATCAACTTCCTGGTAGCCGAAGCATGTTCTAGGCATATTCCCCTAAGAAAGAAGAGCAGGAGTAAACTGGAGAGAAAAAGACGCTCCCTCTACAGAAGACGATGAAGAGTCACTGAGCTCCTCAGGAGTGCTAGAATATCTGATACACGAAAGGAGGCGCTGACCAGGGAAGTGGAAAACTATCGAACTTAAGCTAAATGACTCTTACAGGAACCAGGAGAGGCAGGAGAGCTTAAAGCTATTAGTGAATGAAAGAAATTCAAAATATTTTTTCATATGCCAAAAACAAGGCAAATACCACATCTAGTATCGGACCCTTACTCAGACAGGATGGGACTTACACAGATGACAACAAGGAAATGAGTGAAATATTGAAATCCCAGTACGACTCTGTGTTTAGTGAACCACTAATCGGTCTGAGGATCGACGACCCAAATGATTTCTTCATGAATGAGCCTCAAAACTCCATAAATGTATGCCAGATTTCCGACATTACCCTAACTCCGATAGATTTCGAAAAAGCCATTGACAACATGCCTATGCACTCAGCCCCGGGCCCAGACTCGTGGAACTCTGTTTTCATTAAGAACTGCAAGAAACCCCTCTCGCGTACCCTAAGTACACTATGGAGGAGGAGCTTGGACATGGGTGAAATTCCACAGTCACTTAAAACAACGAATATAGCCCCACTCCATAAAGGTGGCAGCAAAGCATTAGCTAAGAACTATAGACCAATAGCTCTGACGTCCCACATCATAAAAATCTTTGAAAGAGTGCTAAGAAGCAGGATTGCAAATCACCTGGATTCTCAAAATCTGCACAATCCAGGGCAACATGGGTTCAGGGCAGGTCGCTCCTGCCTCTCGCAACTACTGGATCACTATGACATGGCCTTGGATGCACTGGAAGAAAATCAAAATGCAGATGTAATATACACAGACTTTGCAAAAGCATTTGACAAATGCGATCATGGCGTAATAGCCCATAAAATACGTGCTAAAGGAATAACTGGGAAAGTGGGGAGATGGATCTTCAACTTCCTAACAAATCGAACACAAAGAGTAGTGGTCAACAGAGTTAAATCGGAGGCTGCCATAGTGAAGAGCTCTGTTCCACAAGGCACAGTACTCGCCCCCATCTGATTCCTTATCCTCATATCAGACATAAACAGAGATATACACCACAGCACCGTATCATCCTTTGCGGATGATACTAGGATCTGCATGAGGCTGTCATCTGCTGAGGACGCGGTTAACCTCCAAGAAGATATAAACAAAGTTTTCCAGTGGGCAACGGTAAACAATATGATGTTCAATGAGGACAAATTCCAACTACTCCGTTATGGAAAACTGGAGGAGATAATAACTAGAACAGAGTATACTACTGACTCCGGCCATACAATAGAGTGGAAAAATAATGTAAGGGACCTGGGAGTAGTAATGTCTGAGGATCTCACTTTCAAGGATCACAACAGTGCCACGATCGCACGTGCAAAGAAAATGATAGGATGGATAATGAGAACTTTCAAAACGAGAGATGCCAAGCCCATGATGATCCTTTTCAAATCACTTGTTCTCTCTAGGCTGGAATACTGCTGTACATTAACATCTCCATTCAAAGCAGGTGAAATCGCAAATCTAGAGTGTATAGAGATCCTTTACTGCACGTATAAGTTCTGTCAAGCACCTTAACTACTGGGAACGCTTGGAAGCACTTGACTTGTACTCGTTGGAACGCAGGAGGGAGATATATATCATAATCTACACTTGGAAATCTTGGAAGGAATGGTCCCAAATCTGCACACAGAAATCACTCCCTACGAAAGTAAAAGACTGGGCAGGCGATGCAAAATGCCCCCAATAAAAAGTAGGGGCGCCATTGGTACACTAAGGGAAAACGCCATAAGTGTCCGGGGCCCAAAACTGTTCAACAGCCTCCCATCAAGCATTAGGGGAATTGCCAATAAACCCCTGGCTGCCTTCAAGAGAGAGCTGGACAGATACCTGAAGTCAGTGCCGGATCAGCCGGGCTGTGGCTCGTACGTTGGACTGCGTGCGGCCAGCAGTAACAGCCTAGTTGATCAGGCCCTGATCCATCGGGAGGCCTGGTCATGGACCGGGCCGCGGGGCCGTTGATCCCCGGAATAACCTCCAGGTAATCCAGGTAGGTCATGTGCCTCGTGGCCAATGGATAGCATTTAGGTTCGATCCAAAAAAAAAAATGGAAAATAAATCTAGTTCCTTGGAACAAGAGTCCCTCACCGGCATTAAGTCACCTCCTTTGAAAGGGGAGGAGGGTGGAGGTATGACAGTAGCAGCTGTGGCAGTAGTTGTGACAGTAGTAGTTGTGGCAGTAGTAGTTGTGGCAGTAGTAGTTGTGGCAGTAGCAGCTGTGGCAGTAGCAGCTGTGGCAGTAGCAGCTGTGGCAGTAGTAATTGGGGCAGTTGCAGTTGTGGCAGTAGTAGATGTGGCAGTAGCAGCTGTGACAGTAGTAGTTCTGGCAGTAGCAGCTGTGGCAGTAGCAGCTGTGACAGCAGCAGCAGCTAGAGCAGTAGCAGCTGTTGCTGTGGCTGCGGAACGAGTGAAGCGACAGAGGAACCTGCGACAGTTTGCGACAGTGGTCCTAGAAAACGTAGTTTTGGTGGCGGGAGCTCTGCCGGCTTAACGTTCCTCTGATGTCCCTGGAAACACAAAGCGGATGATATAACGTTAATCTTTGCTTCGTGCACGTAAACTAGCTGGTCCGTTGCAGTTTGAGATCATCAGGATGAGTATTCGTCTGTGTGTATGAGAAAGCGCACACAGACAAATGTACCATTAAAATCAATTGTGCACATTACAAATAATCATGCAGGCATGATGAAGGACAGTGAAACCTTTATGGATGTCAGCAGCCGCACCCATATGTAGTATTCAAACAATTTGAGGAAAACAAATTGCTACAAAGAGATGTAATCGTTTGACTCCAGTCGAAGTTTCAACATCTCTAGCAAGTTGTACATGAATGGTATGCACTACCGACAAGATGAAAAATTAGACATGTGCAGTATCTGGGTATCTTTATTTTTAGACGTCTCATTATCCAAATGAAGATATCCAGATGTTGCACCTGTGTTTATTTCTTCATCTCCTCTAGCAGTTTACAAATGCAGCTTGTGGAAGACACCGGCAGGTAGTTTGCTGCCTCAAGGAACATCGAAAGCTCGCTACTGTCTTATAGGAAAATAGAAAAGGCAAGTGAAAACTGAAAGAAAACAGGAGAAGAGTGCTTCAACAGCACATCCTTTCCAGGGACCGCAGAGGTAGTACGAGGGTCTAGGAATATAATTAGCTTTCCAAAATCATCGCCTTTCAGTCTCCCTCCGCCTCCGGTTCAGGATTTCACACCTATATTGGTGTGAGAATATTCCGGTGAGTTTGTTGGCCTTTCTCCGAACGTTCCGGAAGGACAATTATTGTACTGACAAATGCGGAAGGACAAGAGTGTTCTGAAGTCGATATTCCACCTGATAAGGCACGAGATGCTTGAACCGCAGGTCCACCTCTCAGTATACCATCACATCACTGTAGCTCGCCGAAGAGCAACAGAAAATGACCGCTTCCTTAAGCTCTGTTACATACGACAAATAAAGGGAAAGGGTTACTGGGCTCTTAGGCAAGATCACTGAAACCAGACCACTAGGGTAGGGTGATCCAGAATCAGAGGGTTGATGGCAAGGAAGAATGATGATTGTAATTTGGATAATGTTCACGTTATATATATTTCATGAATATTTGTGCACTATTATAATCGTAAATGCTACTTTTATTCGTGTGAGAGGTGCTGGTATTCAACATTCACTTAAGGATTAAACATTAATCAATAAAAGCGTCAGAACCCCAGTGCAAAAATATTCCCCACACTGAAGTCAAAAAAAAAGTTTTTGAGTGGTGAATAGATTTTCAATTTAATATTTCATTCATAAACAAGTGTCTATCAGCACAGACTGAAATTCAGAGCATGCCACAACACTCAAAGTGAAATTCCTTTCAGTGGAAGACAAACAAGTAGAAATATAATTGCACTAGTGGTGAGCTCTGGTGAGAAGCAAACCCCTGACCCCGGTGCTATGCTACGTTAACAGGTGTGTTACCCCGGACACCTTGGAACCCATGCGACGCCCACGACACGAGGTGCTGAGACGCGCTACCAGCCTCCAGGATGTTGCTACCACCCGCACCCACCACACCTTCACTCCCGCGCCCCCCGCAGGTAACAACCCATCTCAGGTAATAACCCATCGCAGGTAACAACCCATCTTAGGTAATAACCCATCGCAGGTAACAACCCATCTCAGGTAATAACCCATCGCAGGTACAACCCATCGCAGGTAACAACCCATCGCAGGTAACAACCCATCGCAGGTAACAACCCATCGCAGGTAACAACCCATCGCAGGTAATAACCCCTTCCCCCAGTCAGGAAACATCACCCCTCCAAGGTGACGCTAAACCTATGTCCAAAATGGGCAACACCTCCCCCCCCACTCGCAAAAATCACTTCCATCCCTGCAGGTAACACCACGCTTCTTCCCGAGGTAACAACGCCTACCCACTTCACATTTTTCCCCACACTCCTACCTTATCATTCTGGGCTGGGACTGGGCCGCGGGGGCGGTGACCCCCAGAAGTGACTAGAAGTAACCTACAGGGTCTCGTAACAGGTAATATCCTTTGCTAGTTTAGTGTGGTAGCTGGCATAAATTAGCATACTTTAGCAGAGAGATTTATCTACGTGCATACATTAATTATATATTAGTGGAACTAATTTATGCTAGGGCTAAATTGAACTCAAGTCTTAATGACCCCTCATGCAGAGTCCAAGCCTAATAAATTAACCCAGGAAGAACGAGGATCTCCTGCTACAGCTGCACAATGTTGTTTGTCAGGATCATGTGTCACAGGTTCAAATTTTGCTGGCAATTGTCACTGGGTCTATTTTTGTTAATACTGTTATTTGTCATCTATCATAGAAACAGATATTCTTCCCATATATGCAGGTAATGGCCAGTACTACTGTAAAATATCTCTCAAAATAACAAAAGCTGTACTTTCATGATTGCAATATTACAATGAAAACTAAGAGCTAAACCCACAAAGGCCATTCAGCGCTGCAGTGTAGGATGTACTAAATATGTAATATGCCAGATCAGAGACCAACGAGGGTGATACTTCTGTGATAAAAAGTATGTCTCTAACAAAAACTTAAATTTAATATTTTCAGTGGCAGTGAGAAAATGATATTTCAATTAGTTGCGCGTCACAGGCAGCCGTAAGCCTGACGTTGGGAGGCTGAAGCCGGTGAGGACACCGGCGAGCCAGATCAATTATGGTCTTAGCCCAGGTAACAAGTTGTCAGGAGGTGAGCACGAGATGGCCCAGGCTCAGACCGGCCATCACTCAGGATCTGCTACACAACAATTGCGAAAGGGGGATTTTCTTTTTCTTTTGGAGGCATTAGCAGAAAACCAGCAACGTCAGAAATTCGGCAGTGGTGATATTTTTTTATCCACGAGTTTCTTTCACCGCAGTGGAATTCCAAGGAAAATATTTTTTTTAGCTTGTGTCGACCGCTGTTCAGGTGAATGTCTGGCAGCTTCCAGCGCATTCCTGGCAGCTTCCAGCGCACTCCCACCACCCAGTAAATCCTACTCTCCGTGATGGAGTTTCTAGCTTGATGATAATCTTAAGACTGTCTCAACTCGAAGATTTTGTGATGCATATTTACAGTGACATTACTTACGCGGTCAGGCACCATGTGCACGTACATGTTGCTACATTTAGAACAGTTGTACCAATTAAAAAGTAAATAAAACATTACGAAACTCTTACATCAGTCATTGAACCCATCATTATCTGGTTAGTAGTTTCTTGCTCGTGAGTGTCAGGCTGTTTGACCCTCACTCATCGTCGGCTGCTGCCATACTTTTTGTGCCTCTTCCCATTTTTATGATATGACCCTTAAGGGTCATACAGCACCTTTAGAATGAAAGGCACTCAAGTCTAATGCAAGGAAGGATAAGGAAGCTCCAATTCCTCAGAACAAGACACCTCCTTATATTGCTGAAGGTTTGAGAATACTCTGAAATATACATCGAAAGATATTCTTCTTTCGAGACTATATACAGTGGGCATCATAAATGTACACTCCCATCAGAAAACCCTCACTACACTGTTTACCTGACAGATTCGAGAAGTGCCAGGACAACTTTTGTCTGGAAGACACAGCACCTTGACAAATTGCCAAAGAAATAAAAGAATGTGATTTTTCCATACTTTAATGACTGGCCTCGAAACTCGGGCAAAAATTTAACTGAGATCTTTTGGAAAATTATTAAACGTAAGCTTCCTGGCATGGACGTGTACTCTAAACTCAAAATCTCGAGTACTATTAAGCAGGTGTGGGAGGGTACTGACTTTCCTATCATCCATAAGCTAGCCATGTCAGTGCCTAGGAGTGCATCCAGAGGTGCATCCAGAGGAAGGGAAATTCTACGAAATACTGGTTTGGATAGGAACTATATACATTTCGGTAATATATATTTAAAACAATAGTTTATGGTGAGCGGTCTCCTTTGTCATCTGTTTATTCGCATGCTTATTTGTGATTATAAATATATGTGCATTATATATATATATATATATATATATATATATATATATATATATATATATAATATATTATATATAATATATATATATATATATATATATATATATATATATATAATTATTATTATTTTAATAAAAAAGAAGCGCTAAGCCACAAGGGCTATACAGCAATATATATATAGATATAATATAATCATGCTGAATAGGTAAACCTGGTCAATTAGCAAGAACTCATTTAAAATTTTTTTTACATTTTCTAATTAATTTTTATGTAATTAAGTTAATAATTTTGTAATTAGTTAAGAAAAACTTTAAATTTTTGTAAAAAGAACCAACTAAAAATTTTAACCTTATTTTAACAATAATTTAATTTAACCCTAACCAATAAAAAATAATTTTTTTCCCAAGTTTAGAATGATTTTTAAACAAAAAAATTGAAAATACATATTTTTTGCCTTAGTTTAGAATTGTTTTAGAAAAGCAAAATTTTTCGCAAGTTTACCTTTTCGGCAGACATACAGTTGTTATTTAAGCAATATGAAATTTTATTTCGGCATACATACAATATATATATATATTATATTTTTATTATTATCACACTGGCCGATTCCCACCAAGGCGGGGTGGCCCGAAAAGAAGAAAACTTTCACCATCATTCACTCCATCACTGTCTTGCCGGGAAGGGTGCTTTACACTACAGTTTTTAAACTGCAACATTAACACCCCTCCTTCAGAGTGCAGGCACTGTACTTCCCATCTCCAGGACTCAAGTCCGGCCTGCGGTTTCCCTGAACCCTTCATAAATGTTACTTTGCTCACACTCCAACAGCACGTCAAGTATTAAAAACCATTTGTCTCCATTCACTCCTATCAAACACGCTGACGCATGCCTGCTGGAATTTCCAAGCCCCTCGCACACAAAACTCCTTTACCCCCTCTCTCCAACCTTTCCTAGGCCGACCCCTACCCCCTTCCTTCCACTACAGACTGATACACTCTTGAAGTCATTCTGTTTCGCTCCATTCTCTCTACATGTCCGAACCACCTCAACAAACCCTTCCTCAGCCCTCTGGACAACAGTTTTGGTAATCCCGCACCTCCTCCTAACTTCCAAACTACGAATTCTCTGCATTATATTCACACACACACATTGCCCTCAGACATGGACATCTCCACTGCCTCCAGCCTTCTCCTCGCTGCAACATTCATCACCCATGCTTCACACTCATATAAGAGCGTTGGTAAAACTATACCCATTCCCTCTTTGCCTCCAAGGACAAAGTTCTTTGTCTCCACAGACTCCTAAGTGCACCACTCACCTTTTCCCCTCATCAATTCTATGATTCACCTCATCTTTCATAGACCCATCCGCTGACACGTCCACTCCCAAATATCTGAATACATTCACCTCCTCCATACTCTCTCCCTCCAATCTGTATTCAATCTTTCATCACCCAATCTTTTTGTTATCCTCATAACCTTACTCTTTCCTGTATTCACCTTTAATTTTCTTCTTTTGCACCCCCTACCAAATTCATCCACCAATCTCTGCAACTTCTCTTCAGAATCTCCCAAGAGCACAGTGTCATCAGCAAAGAGCAGCTGTGACAACTCCCATTTGTGTGTGATTCTTTATCTTTTAACTCCACGCCTCTTGCCAAGACCCTCGCATTTACTTCTCTTACAACCCCATCTATAAATATATTAAAAACCACGGTGACATCACACATCCTTGTCTAAGTTCTACTTTTACTGGGAAAAAATTTCCCTCTTTCCTACATACTCTAACTTGAGCCTCACTATCCTCGTAAAAACTCTTCACTGCTTTCAGTAACCTACCTCCTACACCATACACTTCCCAACATCTGCCACATTGCCCCCTATCCACCCTGTCATACGCCTTTTCCAAATCCATAAATGCCACAAAGACCTTTTTAGCCTTATCTAAATACTGTTCACTTATATTTTTCACTGTAAACACCTGGTCCACACACCCCCTACCTTTCCTAAAGCCTCCTTGTTCATCTGCTATCCTATTCTCCGTCTTACTCTTAATTCTTTCAATAATAACTCTACCATACACTTTACCAGGTATACTCAGCAGACTTATTCCCCCTATAATTTTTGCACCCCTCTTTTATCCCCTTTGCCTTTATACAAAGGAACTATGCATGCTCTCTGCCAATCCTAGGTACCTTACCCTCTTCCATACATTTATTAAATAATTGCACCAACCACTCCAAAACTATATCCCCCCCTACTTTTAACATTTCTATCTTTATCCCATCAATCCCGGCTGCCTTACCCCCCTTTCATTTTATCTATATAAATAATTTATCTATCTATATATATATATATATATATATATATATATATATAATATATATATATATATATATATATTATATATATATTTATATATATGTCGTGCCGAATATGTAAAACTGGTCAATTAGCAAGGACTCATTTAAAATTAATTCCTTTCTGAAATTTTCTCTTATACGTTTAAAGATATATTTTTTCATTAAAGTTAAAGTAAAAAATTATAATTTTGCACCAAAAGAATCTTAGAAAACTTACCTAACCTTATTATAATAATCA